AAAGCTCAGGGAAAGCTGGAGGGGATTTTTGTGTGTGGAAGTATTGTGAGTTCCATTCACTTCTGGAACTCAAGGCAAACTTGTAAACTCTTTAATTCTATGTGTATGTCTCTTGCACAAGGCAGATTGGATTGGCAGATCTCAAGGTTTTAGTAGAAGAGCGATCAAGATATACAATATTGAAAGTTGTCCAGCAAACACTCGGTGATGTCATGTTTCCATGTCAGTTTGGAATAATTAGGTTTCAAGATGGGAAATGGGAAGTCATAAGAACATAAGCAGAACCTGTCGGATAAGACCAATGGCCCATCTAGTCTAGCATCCTTTTCTCACAGTGGCCAACCAGATAGATGCACATGGGAAATCCATACATTGGACCTGAGCTCAAGAGCCCTCTCCTCCCCTGTAGCTTCAGCAACTGATTCAGAAGCATTATTGCCATTGACCATGCGGGCAGAACACAGCCATCACAGCTGGTAGCCATTGATTGACTTACCTTCCATGAATTTGTCCAGTCCTTTTTCAAAGCTATCCAAGTTGGTGGCCATCACCACCTGGCTGGAGTTGATGAGATGTGGAGCCCAACAATATCTTGAGGGCCACCATTCCCCATCCCTGAATTAGACTGTCACTTGCCTTTCCCTGATAACATTACTTGCCCTCACTGTCCCTAGCTACTCCCATCAACAGCCTTTATTGCTCCAAGATACCTCCATCATGACTCTGCCTTCTTTTAAGGCAGGGATGGGCAACTTGTTAACCTCCTGATGTTGCTGGACTGTGACTTCCATCATCCCTGACCACTGACCACACCAGCTGTGGCCGCAGGTTCCCCATACCCGATCTATATTTTCTCCTTTCTCACTCAAGAATTTGTTCTTTGGATTTATCTCCCCTTCATTTGCAAGAAGTAACGTTTGACAACACCCCCCAAGCAACACATTGTTTCTCTTGTCTTCTCTAGCCAAGCCAATTTATAATGGATAAAATGTCACTCATACATCACGTCAGCGCCCGGGTTGCACTTTGCAAGGCGAACTCAGCTTCACAGTCTCCATGGCGGCAAAGCCCGGGCTCAACAGTAGTGCCTGCAAGCACTAAGAGCTTTATAATTTTTATAGGCTGTGCCTTCTTTGTTAAAATCATTTAGGTGGGACCGGGGAGACATATCTTTGAAAGGTCATAACTATAAAAATATTGGGAACATAATGTTTGCCATTTTCCTTCTCTCCATAACCTCCACTCTTTGAGCATTTTATGGGAAAGCTCTTTTGGTTCCCTTCAACACACACACACAGGGACAAATAAATGTTTGCAAATGCACCTTACAACCTTGTGTTATGGCTATAGAGCAGGTTGGGGAACACTGTGGCCCTCTGCTTGCTGTTGGACTCCAAATCTCAGCATTGGCATGGCCAATGGTCAGGGACAGAGATGGAGGAGAAATTCAATTCTGTTTGCATTTGAAGTCAAATCTATCAAATTCTTACTTTCTTGAATAGCATGGGAACCTAAACACAGCCATCGTTCAAAATTTGCACATATCCAGCATTTTTGGTATGGTTCTCCAACCAAAGGAGGTTTACAAAGAATGCAAATGTGCAATAAAAATCAATTAATTAGTGAAAATAACACACACTTTCTATTAAGGAGAAACTGCTTACAAAAAAGATGTGCATGTTAATAAAAAAACTCCATGCAAAAAAATGCATTTGTTAGGAGAAAATTACATTAAATATCGAAAAATCTTAATGAGAAGCTTTTAAGAAGGAATTTGCAAATTGCCAAAGAACTGTAGAGAACTGAATATATGTTTGGTAGAAAAATGAGAAGCTGAGAGAACAGAAACTGAAAAGATTCTTCCATTCGTAGTCAGGGATAACAGGAGTGATAACATCTGGAAGCACACAAGTTAGGGTTAAGGATGGATGAATTTGTCAGTTTCAGTTTCCACCAGTTTCTCATTTTTCAGTTCTCCACAATAGTTCGTGGCTTATTTCTTTTAAAAGTCCTCATGAAAATTCTTCAGCACTTTAGTGCAAATTTCTCCCAATATACACATGTTTGTATGCAATTTCTCCTGATATACACATTTTTTGCACAGCAATGCTCCCCAATTTAATGAATTTTTGTATGTTATTTTCACTAATCTATGCATATCTGTACATGTTGCTTGAACAGAGAACTGCAACTGCAAAAGTGTAAATTTCAAAGGATTGATTGATTGATTGAGTTTACCGATATGCCACTTTTCCTTTTGCTGGTTAGCTGAGGAACTGCAGTGATCTATACTTTCAGAGGGTTTTCCTTGTTCTTTTTGGCTTGGGGGAATCAAAATTCCAAGTTCAGAAATCCATTAGAAATTTCCTCATATGAATCCATGGTGATCTCTAACTTGTTACGTGGATGCCCACCTAATGAACAATTTCCAAGGAACGCATTGTGTGCAGAAAGCAGGACCTGCATGCATTTCTTAGAGTTAATTCATAGTTTGGTGTACCTGGCTACTAAGAATACCAACCAGAAACTATACTTGATTATTTGATACATAGATGAAGAACATCTCTCACTTTCTCTGGCTGCATTTCAGTTCATGCATCGTTTCAGAAAGTACAAATTGGGTTGATTCACCTTTAAGTGCATTCTGGATTGGTTCTTATCCTTAAAAATAAAATGAAATACTGTTTTATTAAAACTTTTCACATTACAATAAAAAAGCAAACTAATCGAAACAAAAAATAGTAAAAGGAAAAAGAGCCAGAAGAATACAGAGTCCTCTCTCGCAGATATGGGGTTGATAGGAGTTCAGAGGACACCTGGTTTCCCATTCCTGCCCTAAAGTCTGTCCTCCTGGTCTACTGCAAGCCATCCCACCATACTGCATTCTGCGGGGCATCACTTCCCATTCAGATTACGCCTTTCCATGTGAAACCTTGGGATCTACTCTCAGGGCTTCCTTTTATTCCTATTGACCAAGTATCAGAACATTAATTTTTATTTCATTTATAAAAATATCAACATGCTCCTAACTCATGAAGAAAACGGCAAACTGGTTCATAAAACCATACGATAAAAATATATATGAAAAAAGTTAAAATCAGAAACAGCTAACTATTGTGAAAAGATGTATTCTTAATTGACTACACAGGCCTAATGTAATAGAAAGTGAGTTTTTCAAAGTTGGCACAGGAAGTGCCTGATGGATCTCTGTTGGCAGGCTGTTCTACAGGGCTGGGCCAATGACACTAAAGGCTTGGCTTCTTCTTGTTTTTATCAAATGAGACAGTGGAACAGCCTCCCTCGGGAGCTGGTGGACTCTCCTTCCTTGGACTCCGCTTCCTTTTAAGCAGAGGTTGGATGATCACCTGTCACATATGCTTTCGCTGCGATTCCAGTATGGCAGAGGGTTGGACTAGATGACCCTCAAGGTCCCTTCTAATTCTTCAATTCCATCCTTCTGCGATTCTGTGAACTCAGGGAACAACTAGTGACTCTCCTGCAGATGATCTCAGGCAAACCCTGAGGTGCCCTGGGGTTGTCAGGGCTTTGTCAGTTAATAGGAGGGCCTTGAACCTGACTTGGTCATAGATGGGCAGCCAGGACAGATGCTTTAAATATTGTGCTGCATGTTCTTGGCCGGATGCCCCCATCAGCAATCTGGCTGCCACATTCTGCCCCAGCTGGAGCTTCTGAACCCGGCCCAAGGGCAGCCCCACACAGAGTGCATTGTGGTAATCCAGCCTCAAAGTTCCTAGTGCATGGAGTCTAGTGGTCAGGCTATTCCTATCCAGGAACGCCCTTAGCTGGCGAACCAGACAATGCTGCTAAAAGCCACACAGATCTTGTTCCATTTGTCCCAACTAACTTTCCATATATATATATATATGAGAGAGACTTCAGGGCTGTGCCTTTGTTTCAAGGAGAACTGGGTGAATGGAGGTGATGTTTTTGCATCCCTCAGGGAGTTGCAAACATCACCTCTCTCTCCCGCCCCTCCCCACGCACGGGGATAAGAATAGGCTTCTCGCCCACCTGGTTTTTGACGATTACCTTTGCCAAACAGAAGGGATTGATGGTTTCTATAGTAATGCTCCTCGGTGCATCTCCAGATTGTGTACAGCACACACAATACCAGCTTACCCTCTCTGCCACCCTGCCAAGCAGGGCCACCGAGTGCAGCTTGTGGGCTCTTGCAACGGAACAGCAACCTGGAGCGTGTGGGAAGCCCACCTGCCAGACTCGAAAGGAGATCTGTGCCTACAGTACATTCAAATGCAGCTCGTTTTTCGGAGGATGTGAATGCCAGCCCCCAAATCCTTCATTGTGTAGAGCCTTTCATCACGGCTTGAGAGGAGAATGGCTCAGCCCTTTGCTTTTCGGATATATATATATTTTTAAATCACTGCACAGAGCATCGAAAAATATTTTATCCTGCTAGAATATAAAATTTAAATGAACAAGAATGCAAGATGAGCCAGCCTGCTGGATCAGGACAAAGGGGACCAATCTAGTCCAGTATGCCTGCCCAGATGCACACAGGAAACCAGCAAAACAGAACGTGAGAGCCAGTGTGGTGTAGTGGTTAAGAGCGATAGACTTGTAATCTGGGGAACCGGGTTCGCGTCTCCACTCCTCCACATGCAGCTGCTGGGTGACCTTGGGCCAGTCACACTTCTTTGAAGTCTCTCAGCCCCACTCACCTCACAGAGTGTTTGTTGTGGGGGAGAAAGGGAAAGGAGAATGTTAGCTGCTTTGAGACTCCTTCGGGTAGTGATAAAGCGGGAAATCAAATCCAAACTCTTCTTCTTCTTCCTCACCTGTGATTCCCAGCAATTGGTATTCAGAGGCATACTGCCTCTAACAAGGGAAGTAGAGCAAATTTCTAGACCTCATTGATGCATCTATGGCAAAGGTCTAGAAAAGTAAAAGTACCTGATTCATAGAATTGTAGAGCTGGAAGGGACAACAGGGGTCGTCTGGTCCTACCCCCTGCAAGGCAGAACCCAATGTGGGGCTCAAACCCACAACCTCGAGATTAAGAGTCTCATGCTCTACCGACTGAGCTATCTGTTGAGTGCCTTGTAGCCCTCCATAAATTTGTCCAGCTCTCATTTAAAGCCAATCAAGTTGGTGGATATCACTGGATATCACAGCTGAACCAGGTTTCGCAAAAGAGGTTCCCACACTAAATGAAAAAATTACACACACACACACACACACGGGGCTGGAAGAAAGACCTGCTTCCTGTTGCAAGGCCCATTTCAACCTGGCCTAGGGAGCAGGGCCCAGACTCACCTTGAACAGCTAAAAGAGGCTCCTGGGAGCAGCGGCGGAGCTTCATGCTCCGGCACTGGGGGGGGGGGCAGAGAACGGGTGGGGGCAGGGCTGGTGCATGTCCTGGGGTGGGGCGCGCCACCTGCAGAGGCATGGTGTGTGTCCTGGGGTGGGGCGTGCCACCTGCATGGGCGTGACACCCAGGGCGAGCGGGGGGGGGGCAGCTGCGATGGCACCCCACCAGGATCACGCTGCTGGGGGCAGTGAGCTCCCCCCACACTCCTCTTCCTCCGCCAGTGCCTGGGAGGCCACTGGGATATTGCTGGAACAACTCTTGGGTTGGGGCAACTGGCTAAAATGTTTTAAAGAGTTCTAATTTTGGTTCCTTTGTTTTGTTTTGATCGGGTTGGTGTTGGTTAAATGTTTAGTTGTGGTTGGTGGTTATTTTAATTTGGGTATAACTGTAAACTGTTTATTATTGCTGTCATTATTGTTATTGTTGTTGTCATTGTCGGTTTCTATTGATTTATTGGTTTGTTTGTTGCTTGCATAGGATATTTTGTTTTTTAATATTGGATGTTTTGTTGGGTTTTTATATATGTTGTAAGCTGCCCAGAGTGCCTGGGGAAACCCAGCCAGATGGTCAGGATATTATTATTATTATTATTATTATTATTATTATTATTATTATTAAATGTTTTATTATTGTTTATATAGTATGTTGAATTAGATATATATGGGGGCACCCAAATCTATTAAGTGCTTAGGGCCTCTAAAGATCTTAATCCGGCCCTGCCTACCTCACAGGGATTGAAATGAGGAGGGAGAGAGTCATGTACGCCATCTTGAGCTCCTTAGAGAAAATGGCGGGGTGCAAATGCAACAAACAAACAAACTGGTCACCTGGAGGTGCCCTGTTTTGTTTTGTGTGGTCCTCAGATGAGGGTATCTTCTTGTGTCCCTGGAAGAGTCATTGCCCTGTACAGTGGTACCTCTGGTTAAGAACTTAATTCGTTCTGGAGGTCCATTCTTAACCTGAAACAGTTCTTAGCCTAAGGTACCACTTTAGCTAATGGGGCCTCCTGCTGCCACCGTTCGATTTCTGTTCTCATCCTGAAACAAAGTTCTTAACCCAAGGTACTATGTCTGAGTTAGCAGAATCTGTAACCTGAAGCGTCTGTAACCTGAAGCATCTATAACCCGAGGTACCACTGTATGTGCGTTTTCCTACACAATGACATTTGCAGAAACATGGAGATTGATCTCTGAATAGCAAGCTCTTTTTTGCTCTCTCAAAATCAAAAAGTCATCCTTTGCGTGTGTGTAAAGTGCTTTGTGTCTCCATCTTTACTTTGGGAAGGCGGAGCATAGCTACTAAATGTTAGGCAACCTCCACTGTTTATAATCCATTGCCAAAACATCTTTCCTCCCTATTCTAAGAGAGAGAGAATGTGCCTTTTCCTTTTGCATCCCCACTTCCCCCATATCCATTTTGATCACGGCAAGCTCATATTTTTCTTTATAAATTTCAAGCCAAGTGAGCAGGGGATGTGCGGAAAATATACTGTTGAAATAAAAGAAAAACTGATTTGGCTTTGCCAAGAGAGCACTGATTTATGGATACCTCAGCCTTGCCTTGAAAGTGTCGCTCTGATACCAGGGGAAAAGAAAACCAATTCAAGGAGGAAAAGGAGAACAAACAGCGGGAGGGATTTTTCTCTTTCCTCCATTTTTTGAGATAAAAATCCAGATCTTTGGGGTTTTATTTTTTTTGTCAAGTGTTTGTTTCTTAGTTTGTATGGGTCCATTTTTCTCCCTGACAATATTGTGATATTCTCGAAGCATTAAAACGCAGGGCTGAAAATGGAGGCAAGGTGCAAAAATCATAGCACTGTAGAGCTGGAAGAGATCCAAGCAGTCATCTAGTCCAACTCGCTGCAATGCAGGGCTGTGGGAAGAAAGTCGTCTTGCAGATGCACCGTGAATTAGATTTGGAACAAGGTGGGATACCCGGAGATGGCCACCCACCTCTTCAAACGCAGTGCTGTGCCAATCACAGAGAAATCAGAGGTTGTGTGTGTGTATGTGTGTTTGTATGTGTGCACCTACAAAAGAGGCACTGGAGTTGAGGACTGCTCCAGTCACCTCCCAGAAGCAATGTTGTTGTTGTTGTTTAATATAATTTTTATTAACAAACCAATCAAATCACATTAATTCCAAATCACAAAGCCAAATTTTTAAATTTTGTTGGGGGTACCCATGCTTCGAGCTCAGAAAGGGATCCAAACATCTCTCTTGCTGCTGCTTTAATATTTTCAGTTCTGTCCAAATAATATTCACAGTTCTGTCCAATCATCTCTTTATTGTTTTCCTCATCTTCTTGTTGTTATCATATATTCCTTTCTTTGTGACCTCTGATAGTCTCTACAAGCGGGTTAGAAACAAACGTGTTGTTGTTGTTGTTTTAAAAAACACATCCCCCATATGCCTTAAAATTCAATGCTGTGCTGAATTCTGCCCTTCAGTTCCTCAAAGTTTTCTCACCCACCCCGAAAGAGGCTTCCTCCCCCCACCCCGCCTTGTTTTCAGGGCATTTGAGAATTTGAGAATCCCAATGGATGCAGGTGTGATGTCCTGACATTTATGCAAATGTAACGGTGTAAGCATTAGAGTAATTACGAAAAACAAGGATGTGATAGCATGGTCCCAGGTGCACAGGTAAGTAGATTAGGTGAATTAGGGTGAGTGTTAGGTTGGGAGGGGGAGAGTGTGATTTACCAGTTCCTGGAAACCACAGGAGGGGAGAGGGGCTCTTGTCCTTGCTGGTTTCCCACAGGCAACTGTTCAGCCACTGTGGGATAAGGATGCTGGACTAGATGGCCATTGGACTGATCCAGCAGGCTCTTCCGGTGTTCTTATGTTCTGGGTGACCTTGGGCCAGTCATTGCCTCTCAGCCTAACCTGCCTCGCAGGGTTGCTGTGAGGATAAAATCAGAAGAAGAACTGTGTACACAGGACATAGGACTTTGGCTATGCACTTCCTTAGATGTTACACTTGTTCATTGAAACACGCTTACCTATCATGCCCTGCAATGAAAATAGGGACATCCTAAATAATAATAATAATAATAATAATAATAATAATAATAATAATGGAATTGTAGCATTGGGAGGGACCCCAAGGAGCCTCTAGGCCAACCCCCTGCAATGCAGGAATATGCAGTTGTCCCATATGGGGACTGAACTTGCAACCTTAGCATTATCAGCACCACACTCTAACCAACTGAGCTATAATAATAATAATAAATTTATTATTTATACCCTGCCCATCGGAATCGATTGCCTCAGTCACTGGGTGGCTTCCAACATTAATAATAATAATAATAATAATAATAATAATAATAAACATTAAAACCACTTCCCTATAAAAGGCTGTCTTCAGATGTCTTCTAAAGCTTATTTATCACCTTGGCTTGGGAATCACATAACTCCATACCCTCCAACATTTCTCCAATAAAAATATGAATGTCCTACCATACACTCCCAACAGCTGTCTAATGAAAATAGGGACGTCCTAAGGAAAAGATGGGCATTTCAGGACCAAATCAGAAACTGGGACATCTTCTGTAAATCCAGGACTGTCCCTGGAAAGTAGGGACCCTTGGAGGGTCTGATAGATACCCTTCCAAATATACCTAAGTTCTCCTGATATTGCTATACTCCAGCTCCCTTCAGTCTTGGCCAACATGGCTGATGACCAGGGCTAGTAATGGAAGCTGTAGTTCAGCAGTATCTGGGGGGACATTGGCTCCTCCACCCAGGACTCATTGAACACCAAATGTTCTGCCCCTCTGATGCTCCCATATAAAACCCCATCATTACTCGTGGCACACCTTTTATTTCTGTGTGTGTGTTTGCCTGCGCTCTCAGCTGAAGTATGAAGATCATACTCCTTGTAAGCAGCGGCGACACTTGTAAAATGATTGCTGTTATCATCACTGCACAGGGATCTTCCGTGGAATAATTAGTACCTCATGGAATGAATTAATGAGCTCGGTGGCTGACATATGCTATCGGAACGCAAAACACCGCCTTCTCCATTCTCCGTGCTGCGCAGAAGTTTGTACCTAGGGCAAATGTCAGCATGCAAAAGGCAGGATCACCTTCATTAGAGATCGGAATGAGCTCCATAAAAAAGATCCCGCAGATGAACCGGGTGCTTGTGCTTTGGTATGTGAAAGAAGAAAGGGTTAATTGTTTCCTGAATAGATTTTCCATAATTAACAACACTTCCTTGATTTCTTTCTTTCTTTCTTACCAGAAGGGCTTTTTTAAAAACTTCTGGAGAGGGATCTTTTTTTCTAGCTGTTTCTGAAGACAGCTAAGCAGGCAATAAAAGAAAAGAGAAGTGGAGATTTGCAACATTGCTGATTGAACTGAGCCACAAAACAGTAAGAGAATCAGAAAAAGGACAGACTAAATCCCATCAAAGGACTTTGACCTTTCTGATCATATTGCAATTGGCATGAGAGGGGCTACTTACGTATCTCTAAAGTAGAGATGAAAATAGGTCGTGTATTTGCATAGCATTAGCATATGCTCATTAATATGTATAGATGAAAATGTAGAGGGGAAAAGCAACTACCTTTGAAATAGAATCGCAGTATGTCTCGCTATAGTGAGGAAGACTGCAACCACAGACTGAAGAGGGAAATGGTAGATGGACAACTGGCTGCTCTCCCGCCTCAGGGTTCTTTACCTTTAAACTGAGCCTGGAGCTTCAAAAAGAAGATGGCTTAAGA